ATTATCAATAAACCTCATAGTGCAGGGTAGTTCAAAACCCACGTTGTAATAGCGAACAAAAAAATGATTCGAACATGGGGTATGCTCCCTTCTCACAACCAAACCAGTCACGCAGTGTTCCGGCAGACTAGACGGGAGGCAGTGTGGGAGTCTTATTTTGAAGTCTGTGGCAGTTAATCCCATTCTTGCAACAATGCAGTTTTCAATTCCGGAATAGTTCTCGGAGGGAGATGCCGAGATAAAATCGCCCTCCCAAAAGCATCCCAAGCATGCTCTATATCAGTGGTGCGCAAACCTTTTTCGACTGCGACCCCTTTTGTAGAGAGAAAATTTTTGGCTACCATTAGAGATAAATGTTCACAAATACGATGTATATTCCCCGCATTTCTTTCGTTTCATTGAATAAAAATATCATCATATCTGACTCATATTAATTTTATTTATAATTTTAAGAAAATATACTTTTTGTATAACACAAAAATCAGTAAATTGCCCTTTAATGAGATGTATATGTGGCTGCAAGTTTCTAATTATCTCATCGATGTTTGGATGTATGTTGCTAATTGCAATTCGCATATCATCTTCAGGGTTTAAACGCAAGCGGTATTTAGTTTTTATTCAAACTAGTTTGCTAAATCCAGTTTCACATAAATACGTTGATGCAAATTGTATTAACACTCTGATGGCATTCTTGTATGAAACGGGATATTTTTTTTTCCACGGATAGCCAAAATTTTTGGCAAGGCTGAGTCTTAAATTGATTTCGAAGAGTATAATCACTAATTAGATCTATCAATTGCTCTTTCTCACTAAATTGAAGAGTTGAACTGCATATGTCAAAGGAAAATGGATCACGAATCCAACCAAGATCGTTTTCAGGAAAATCCTCGAATCTTCTCGAAAAATTTTCCTTTATAACTTTTCAATGTGATTGGAAATGATGTTTTTAAATGTAAATATATCTATATTATTTTCCTTGATAAAATCGTTAAAGCAAGGGAACATGTCGGTGTTGTTTTTTATTCAGTTCAGTTTGCCAGAGACTAAGCTTATTCTTAAAAGCTTGAATTTTACTGGCTGAAGTTATGATAGTTGTTGAATTCTCACCCTGCAAGCTCAAATTTAAGTCGTTAAGTTTTTCGAAAAAAAAAATATCAACTAAATAGCTCAGCTTCCCTAGCCAAACTTCATTGATATAATAACTTGCCAATCTATGTTTCTTTTCGATTAAAAACATGTACACTTCATTTCTCAAATCAAATATCCGTCGTAGTATTTTTCCCACGTGAAAGCCATCTGACTTCGGTGTGTAACAGTAATCTCTCATACGTTGAGCCCATCTCATTGCAAAGTATTGAAAAGAGACGGCTGTTGTGGCTGTTGCATTTAATGTAGTTAATTGAACTAACAGCGTCTTGTAATATGTTGTGCAACTCTTCATCCATATCTTTTGCAACAAGAGCTTGCCGATGAATCATACAGTGATTAAATACCATATGAGGCGCCACCTTCTGAATTAAGCCTCTGAGCCCTTTATTCGAACCTGTTAATGCTGCAGCACCATCATCAGTACAAACCGCAACACAGTTTGCCCCCAGGTAAGGGACTTTGTTTCAAAATATTCATTTATTACTTCGAATATTTTTTCTCCAGTTGTTTTTTTCCTTCCAAACTTTTGCAACATAAAAACGTTTTCTGTTATATCTTCATTAAAAATAAACCTAACGTAAATAATTATTTGTGACATTTTAGTAATATTGGTAGTCTCGTCCAGTTGTAAAGCAAATACAGATGAATTTTGTATGCGTTTTATGACTTCTGACTCGATATTTCGTGACATTTCGGAAATCTGCCGAGACACGGTATCTCTTGATAATGGTATTGTTTTTAGTTCATTTCCATATTTATATCACCATGCATAATTGATGTCATCTTAGTTGCTGCAGGAAGGATAAGGGATTTTCCAATTGTATGGGGTTTCATTGTTTTTCTTGTTTTTCCTATTAGATAAGAAACTTCTAAAGAAGCTCGTAATGCTTTCTGAGGTATTGTTGTAAATTTCTTTAAATGTGCACTTTGAATTTTCAGATTTTCAGCTCGTCTTTGAAAAAAATCGGCATGTTTATTTTGAAGTTCTTTATGTTTAGTTTCCAGGTGCCTTTTTAATTTAGCTGGTTTCATGCTCTCATTTGCTAATTTTTCGTTTGCAAATGACACATATCGGGCGTTCTTCATCATCAACAACACAAAATGTAAAACCATACTTAATAAATTCCTCATTGTATTTTCTTATTTTTTTAGATCGGGCATTTAGTTCAGTATTTTGCGACTCCTCATCAGTATTTGTTCGTTTGTTAGCTGAAGATGTACCTGGTGTACGTATTACCCATTTATCCATTATGAAGATAGGGGTTAAATTATTTAAACTAAAACAAATAATATATAAAATTTTATCATTTTTTTTTTTTCGATAAATTCAATAAAATTAACAGAGATCTTTCTCTAATGTTAGTACATAACTGATAACAAAGAGTAGAAAAACCCGATAAAAACATAAAAAATCATAATTACACAACGTCACATGATAAAACTCGAGGATAAACTAAAACAATTGCAGGCCAACTGCTACATGCTACAACTTCATGCGAACACTGGTATGCAGCATGCAGGCATAATGCATTTCATAAAAATTTGGCTACCCCCAAAAAACTTCTGGCGACCCCCACAGGGGTCGCGACCCCTAGTTTGCGCACCACTGCTCTATATGCTTAAAGTCAGGAGATCTGGCTGGCCAATCCATCCAGCGGATACCCTCACTTATTAGGTAAGCGACGGTCATCTGACTCTTACGTGCATGAGCGTTGTCGTCCATTAACAGAAATTCTGGGCCAACTGCACCGATAAAAAATCAAACATAGGGCTCTAAGATCTCCTCTCTGTACCTCATAGCAGTCACATAGCCTGCCAAACAGAACATACATAAAACCTGCCGAAACCTTTTCACGTCCATCATAGTAATGATCCTTTTCTCTGAAGAGAGAAGGATGATATCGGGTTGCAGGTTTTCTCCAGGCACAGATACGTCGAGAACAGGGTTCAGTCTGAATTTCGATTCATCTGTAGCACGGTGCTTCACTGTCATCTGGTCCAAGGCACATGTTGTCTACACCATGGCTAAACGCCCACTCATGTGTGTTGCAGTAACCGGGACGTTGAGAATCTCTGGGCTTAGCTATTAATCGAAGATATAATTTGGTAGGTAGATCGTAGCTTCCTTCGAAAGCCTGCAGTCCAAAGGTTTTTACTTTCATATATCAAACAGCTTCTAACTGCCTAAAAAATAAAAGTAAAATGCAGTGGAAAGTGCAGAGAAATTGAGTTAACGTTTTGTCAAAGAGGTGCCGCCATCTATCGTGCGTCGGGTGAATTACTATATTTTAAACAAAGGTGTCCATGATGTAAGAAAATAATAATTTGCAGTAGTAAAAAATCTATATTCAATAATGGTATAATTTTTTTGTCTCCGTTTTTTTTTCCCTTTTTATCTCGCGCGACAGTCACGAGATCAACCTGCATCTTACATCATCTGCATGACTTGTTCCGCTACGTATTCCCCGAAATTTGCATATTCATACGGCAGAAGCTTCATATGTCGGGCATTGTATTTAGAGCTTAAATAAGTTTTTGAATTATTTCACTGTGTGAGAAAAATGAGCTTAGAAAGTATTTCAAACAAATGTTTCACATAATTTCCAGCAATTTAAAAATTTTACTAGTGATTACTTTATGGAAATTAAACAATCTTTCAGATCATGCTTTGGCCTTTTTTTCTGCAATCATTCCTAATGTGATGCATAATATGATTTTAGTTATTATTTAAAATGTTCTGATTTTTCACAGATGAGAGCACATCTGATTTTAGTTAAACAATGTGCATTTAATACACTATCAAAATCAAAGTTATTGTAAAAAATTTGAGTATGAATGGCAACTGTAAAGACCAGAGCTTAAATTGCGCAGGAGCCCGGCTCCGGTACTTCTTAGTTTTTAGGATAAATCATAATTCTAGCCGGAGCGCACCGGAGCCCTAAATCAGAAGGCTCCAAACAATTTCAGTAGAAATTTGATCTCGAAAATTTTATTTTTTGCAATAAAATTATATTACAAATCGCTTATTAAATTTTAGTTTATCTCTTTACATTTTATTTAATTTTAATTTAATTATTTAGATATCGAAAATTTTATTTTTGCAATAATAAAATTATATTACAAATCGTTTATTAAATTTTAATTTATCTCTTTACATTTTATTTTAATTTTAAATTATTTATTTAGTTACGTTTTTTTTTAATTATTAACTTCTTTTAATAATAACAATTAATTATTTTTTTTAATTAAGTAATAATCGTAATAAGGTAATAATTGACAAATAATAATTATTAAAATTAATTTTAAATAATAATTAACTATTTAATTTTTAAATTATTAATGATTTTTAATAGTCATTTCATTTATTTATTTACTTTTGTTCCTCTTTGCTGACGGTTTTTCATAGGGCTCCGGCACTTCTAATTTTAGAAATTAAGCCCTGGTAAAGACTAACAGTTTTTCTTGTGCAGGAACAATTATTTCATTATTAAATTCAAATTTAGATACTTAAAAGTATGTCATCTATCTAAATCAAAAGAAATCATACAGAATAGAAATTTTCTATTCCTTTTCTTATTAAAACTGTAAGAACAATTTCCTTGTAAAATTGGAACGGAATGTATTGTTTCTATAAATTATAATGTACAAATATATTAAATCTTTATGAGAGGGAAGTCTGAATGATCGTTTAGAAATTAATAACGTAAATGAAAAGAGTGAAGTCCATCTATAATATTATTAAGTAAAAATTATTACATTGTAATTAAACATTTTCATTTTCATTACTTCTAATTTAAACGTTTTCTTAGGTGTAAAGAAATTAACCAATTAAAAATAAACAAGCATGAAAATGTTATTTCATGAAAAATTTTATTAGAGAAATTACAACAACATAACTAAATCCCTTCAGGGGTTATGCATATTTCTTTCATTAATGTTCTCATCAAGTGCTACAGATAAGCAGTTAAATACGTATGCTCCATGTACAACTCAAAGGAAATACATATAATTGTCAGTATGAATGAATGTAAATACCAGTTATATAGATTAATATACTCTATACAGTATGACGGTATACCTATTTTTTATTAATATATAGCTTATTTCAATATAAATGCACAGAGTGCAGAAAAATGAGTACATGATATTTAGCAATAGTAGGTAAAATGTCTGTACACTTAAACAGTGGAATTTCATAATGTATAATTAATTATACACGAAAGATATTAAAATCACACTCTGATAAATTTTTCAAAGCATATTTTAATTACAGCTTATCACAGTTTCATATTATGTCAAATAAAAATAAAAATTATTGAGCTCTTCTTTCCTGAAATAACATCTTTAAATATATCTTAGGATTGAAAACTAATAATAAATATTATGAAACAAATCAGAAATAATTTATACACTATAAATATCTTCTGTTCATTAATTCATAAAAATATATGAAAATGTATTATGTAAATGAGGGACACTGAAGATTTTATGTGAAAGACCTTAAAAGTCTCTTCCTAAATTTAATCAAATGTATATGCTTTTTAACACGCCTGCTCAAACAAAGGTACATAAAAATTAACTGGTGCGTTCTATTGAAAAAAAAAATTTTTCTTAGTTTGCTTGTAAAAATATTGAAATATTATTTATTTTTAAATGATTTTCAAAATCATAAATCTATGGCTAATTATTAGATTAACGGATCAGTTACTTGTTAGTACATGAAGTCTGTGTATTTGATTTCTTTAAATACGTAATTTCAAATTGTGAATTTGAACTCTGATAATACTTTTTAATATATGATAAAATAATTCCAAAAGAGCTCGTTATGTGTATTAAAAAAAAGCTTAGGTATGCCATAAAAATAAAGTTTTAAGTTTAATGTAAAGAAGTGGAGTTTCCATAATGTATAAATATATAAAATTGATACAAAATTAAGTAATACAAATTATAACTAGTACAATAATAACATAGCTAAAACTATTACTGAAATTACATATTTGTCAGAAAATATTACATTTTTTCTAGCTCAAAGTATCTGTGTATTAGAAATTTCTGTAAATTAATATTTTTTTGGTAAATGATATTTTCAGGTGATTAAGCACCTTAGTTCCTAATACTTTAATTCCGGGAATATTAGACATCATTAACTTAAATATTTATATTTTTGAGATACTGTAGCTGTATCTCAAACAATATAGTTAGATTTTATTATTATATGGTACTAAAAAGAGGCTTGAAATCTATATTTTGTGAATTTATGTCATAATTTACTTGCATTTTGTGACTGTGTGTTATAATTTATGTTAATATAGTTTAATAAAAAAATAAAAAGGTCCTAATACAGAAATGAAGTGTATGGAATAATTACATATTTATCACGTAGTTTTACTTGAAAATATGTAATGTTACCAAATATTGCTTATATTGTTCTTCCAAAGCTATAAAATATACAGAAGAAGATCTGTGTATTGACTAGCAGGATATTTTCTAAGGGCTCATTAAAAAGGAAATAAAATTCTTTGACAAAGTATTACCCTCTTGAGACGTTGAAATGATTCCAACTTCAATTTAAATATCAAGTCTTAAATTAATTAAGATGGTAAGCCTCCTGGAAGGACTTTCTAAGGGAAACTGGCTCGTATACATGCTACTCATGGGTAAAATCACGGAAATGCCCATACAGCCAGCCTATTCGTCGGGATTCGAACCCTTTTGCTTGTAAGACATAAAGTATGTAAAAATACATAAAGTATGCACTATTAAAATGAGTAGTTGCTTTAAGAAAGACTATTAAATTTGCTCTGTGGTAAAAGCAGCGTAATGTAACATAATAGTATTGCACTAATATTAATTAACTGCACTTTTGAACTTTTATAAATATTACATTTAAATTGAATTTAATTAATATTTCAATATACGTGTTACATCACCACTTATAAAGGAAGAAAACTTGAAAATAGAACATTTAAGCTTTACAGACATACATAACAACTGATAAGTCTTGATTGAGACTTTAATGTAATTTATGTCTACAACAGTCCAGTTAATGTGATTGATTGTTGTAAATAGCAGGTTAATAAAAGCTTGCTATTATTATTATATTAATATATATATGTATATATATCTTATTTATTTCTACAATGAGTATTGTAAATTGCGGAAGAGTAAATATGGAGTAAATACTTATCATGAAATGCTATAAATCAGTAGACATCATTGATGATAAAGGAAAGAAGCTTTATACTCAGCTATATAATAAAATATGCTAATTTGTATTAATTACACAAAATAAAATTAGTTGAAGTATATTAAACAGAAAACATTGTATTGAAGCTAATTTAATCAGAAATAATATTATGTTTGGACAAGGCATAATGCAGATAAATTTATTTAAAATAAGTGAAAACGTTTTTCAATTTTGTTTGCTTGCATATGGGAATAATATTCCTGTCAACAAAAGAAATGATTACAAGTAAGTTCATTTGCTTGCTAACGTTATGCTGGCATATTATTCATAGATTTAGGTGAATAATAATGTACATGTGATATTCAGAGCCAATTCATTTAACATTCATACACCAAATAACTGTTACCAGTTTGCATTATCTGAGCTTTGCAAATCGACACCTTAAGGAAAAATTGCTTTGAATGCGCTGATATTTGGATGCTATGTTTTCTGCGACAGTAATATTTTGAGTGGATTATTTCTTTCGTAATTTGAGTTGTTGAATGTGCTAATAACTGGATTCTTCTTGTGTAGCTCTCAGTACGTTTCAGATATTATCATAGGTTTCAACATTTGTCAATATGACTTTCCAAACACATGCTGATAAGTTCAAGACACAGGAACGAGTTCGACATGTACTGACAAGTTTAAGGCACAAAGATTAAGACACACGCTCACAATTTCAAGACATACATTACGCGTCCACATAATTAAGTCAGCGTTAGCAATAGTTGCCTTTTATTCAGGACACTGATTGTCTAATTAATTTATATCAGTTCACCATATTCATCGTGTGGTATCTTGTATTTTTACAAAGCTGATTACATTAACTGCGTAAAAAAGTATAACATTCACACGACCAAGACTGACGGTAAAAAGTTTATATGGAGACTGTACACCAATTACAGTGTCTAAATGTGTTCCTCACGAGGTAGTCCATAGTTTGGGAAATTAAATAACATCCTGAGTGTAATTCTCTTCTTTTTCTCCATTCATCTATTTCTAGGAGTTATCTGCATAATAATTCCATTGCGCGACCTGAGGACCATTTCGGCTGTTAGATGAAGCTGGTCTCTTGGGACGAGGGACTTGACTTCATAATTCATCAAAACATGTGCAAGAACCACCTTCTGTTCCATCATGGCGAATCTTTGGCCTGTAAAGAATGAGTGAGGATTTATTTTGAAATGAGCATAATCGTCCTAATTTAGTAAATAAATAAAAAACACATACTCTGGCACCAAAAATGTTTATATGCTGGTTGGATTAACTAAAATTTTGAGAACACAAAGACTTTTCCTTGAGCTATTTTTCTGAAAAAAATACAACAATTTCTTTTAAATTAGCTTTAAAATTTTCGGAAAGAACTCCTGCTTATTATTTTTTTACTACTCAATTTTATGTTATGTTTATTTAAACATTTAAAGAATTGTTTCGTTACATTGTGGAATTACAATTAAGTTTAACTGACCAAAATATTTAATTTACATCTCGATGCGTCGTTTTTTCTCGGACTCGCTTATTCCAGAGAATTATACAGATTTGAGTGGGAAGCAGTTTATTATAAATTCAAGAAAGAATTTGTAACCTTTTAAGTATATATTGTATCAAAGTTTGGATATTAACCGCTAAGCTTCCCTATTAGCGAAAAGCCGCTTTTGAGATGGAATTAGAGATTTAAGATAGCTTGGCTGGTAAGCTTAGATTTGATCTAGAGTTTAGTTAGCGACCCCATCTTGATTAGAAAGTTCTTAGCTCTGCAAATAAAGACACGGTCAAATGTCAGATTGTTTCACTTCATTTACCAGACGACAGGAAATTTTATTTTGTAATATATTTTAATCTGTCCTTCACAAACGGTAAGGTAGAATATATTTATCTATTTGTGTTTGCATGCTTTCATTATTTAGTTCACATATCAGTAAGTGTTAACTCACATCGTAGCTTTTAAGTAACATTTGGAAAGTAAGAGTTAAATTTGAAATAGTTAATAAGCAGAAATTGCCTCAAACAATTGCTCCACTATAACTGTTTTACTAATTTTAAAGTAAAATCATTATTTTAAGAATTTTACAATTTTATATAATTATTTACCTATAGTTGATACAAACTGAACTTAAGTATTCATTCTTAGTACTAAATTTATGAAATTCTATAAAGCTGTTCCGATTACGTTAACATTATTTTGGTATCAAATTTCCCAAATCATTTACAGTTAAATATTTCTGTCAAACAATTTAGACAAGCTTTACACAAATCAGAAGTTTTTAAATCCAAGCTGTGGAACTCTTAATTTGGATTACACGTCCATTTCTATAATATTACGTTTTAATCAACATAAAGTAAACTCAAAAATCATTACATCGAGTCCTAGCTAATGTTCCAAGCACGCAATATTTAGTGTTTTTTTAATATAAAATGCGTTCAGAAGATATGAATCACGTTAAAACATGAAAATATCATTCACCACGAAACATATTTTATAAAAATTAAATTAATATTTTATTTAATTTATTGAATATCATATTGAAAATATGGAAGAGTATGGTCAGAGGAATAATCATTATAAAGATACACGGCTGAAGTGCTGTTGAATCTCATAAATTATTTAAGTGACATATAACATAGAAATTTTCATATTTTAAATTTTGGGCGAAAAAATAAAGTAGACTGAGAAGATTCTAAAAATATATAATTTGTGTAGGTTTCGAAATTTTGAGAGACCGAAATATTTTTTTACAAAATATAAACTAGCAAGTCCACTAGTTTAGAACGGACAGATGTCTGGTGTGGCCACAATAAAGCATTTCAGCTGGTAAAAAGCATATTCATAAACATTATTTGCCAGAACCTGTTTTATTAGCTGTTAAAAGTGTGTTTATAAGTCTCTCTGGAAAGAAAAAAAACTACTGTCGAAATGCATTCATAGAAAAACTCAAAACCCGAATGAAAGTTTTAACAATTGCATCTGGACACGCATACCAAAAACTCTGAGTCATAACATTAAAGTTTTGATTATAATTTTTTCCTGATTTTTATTATTTTTCATTATGGCAAAAAAAATTCTGTACTAAATCCGAATTACTGTGCTTGAATTACTCTTTTTGGTATTAATGCATAATACATTTTCACTACCGTAAAGTCGAAAGATAGAACCGTGAAATTTCGAAGGCTTCTTCTACTGCTCTGGTGAACTATCAAAAAAAAAAAAAAAAAAAAAAAAAAAAAAAAAAAAAAAAACTTGCTGTTTACCTTTGAGTCTGATTACAATGTATTATGAACAATTAACCCTTTCGCTGTCCTCTTCTGTCCGCGAAAATTTCTTCCCAGCGACCCTTTGTTTTTCTCAGCGTGTAATGTTGTTTTCTCTGTACATGCATAAGTTTCCATACATAACTTTCGTAGTGGATGAATGTAAATGACTACTAAGTAAAATTATAAGGAAATAAAGCATAATGGAAAAGTAATAATATCTCTGCTTATTTCTAATAGCAGGATTAATTTGATATCATCTGATCCAGGCGGTCCACTCCTCCCAATTTTGTTGTTGTAATCTTTTTTAATTATTGGTTTTTTAAAGTTATTTTCCGTGCTTCAACTTTAATCATAGAGTTATTATGGACTGTACTCATCAAACGTATATCCTTCTCGTCTTTTCAATTCACAACCTCATTTTTTCTCATTTTCTGCTGAGTAGATGTTGAAGATCTTTCACTGTCTTGTATCTTATGCAAAATGGCGCAAATATTCATGAAACCGGAAGGGAAATTCAATTAGAAATAGAATGCCTGATTAGTACTGCCCTCTAGGAGGTTTTAGAACAAACAAAAATAAAAACTCAAACAAGTAAACATTTAGAAAGTGTTTTAAACGTTTAAAAGTTTTAAAATGTAGAAGAACGCTTGAAGCGCGTTACGGCCGCCCTGCAGAAGTTTCACTTGAACGCGCTAGACGCATTACGGATGGCGAAGAGGTTAATAGTTCATTACTTAGCTATACAACAATATAATCTGTGTTACATTATATTTCAGATGGTAGTAGCATTTGTCACCCATTTTTTTTATAAAAATTGAGAGTTCGAAGAAAATTTCTCATTTTAAATACATAAATTTGAGATCGCTCTCAGAAGTTTTCATTTTTTTCATTTTCTCTGTTCATATAAAACACTAACAGTAAATTTTTTACTTCTCCTTTTAAGACAAACGTACTTTTTAAAAACGAATCATTATGTTTCAAGCTTTTCAGAAACCTTAGAATATAACTTAAAAACAAATGTTCCGAAGATTGTACTACAATTAGTACAACTGGGATATACCGACCTATACAATTTCTTGGACCAGCTGAAAATGGTACATAAGCGTACGGATGCCGTCCCACAGCATTTTCTGGCAGAAAGCGATCAGGATCAAATTTTTCTGGGTTAGGATATACTTCTGCATCTCTGTGTAACATATAAGTGAAGATCATGCAGTTTGTGCCAGCTGGTATGGTATATCCATCTGTATGAGTAAGAAATACAACATAAAATTAAATATTTTTATAACAAAATTCTTTGATTCATCAGTTATTTAATATTTCATATATATATATATATATATATACGTAATTTGAGTAAAATATTCACTTTATATATTATATAGCAATATGAACTATAACATATTACAAAATAATATAATACACTTTAAGTGTGAATATATACACGCATTTAATAAAATTAGGCAGGACGGCAAATTACACAAGCGAAAACACAGCAAGCGGTAAAGGAGTGCCTAAAAGTCTGAAGCATAAAATCTAAATGTTTTTGCAAATAGTCAGAGGAAATAAGGAAATAAAAATTAAGGAACAATTATGCAGTAGAGTAGATTTAGAATGGTGAAATTAATTTATTCTCGATAAAGAGAATTAATTAAATTTTATATGTTAGTAAAAGTCTTGTAAATATCTTATAGACTTTTCATAGCATTAATTATAACTTCAATACACGTCAGAAATGGTGTTAGGCTCCAGACTACCCTATGAATGATTAAAGAATTAATGAATAATTACTTAATGAATGATTAAAGGTAGAAAATAATGATCAGCCCTACAAAAGGCAATTTTGCACTTTTCATCGCTACTAGGCAAGTGACACTTTCGAACTACAATAAATAACACTTTTGAGCGCTTCTCAATTACGGCACCACCATCTTGCACTGCACCGAAATACTAAAACTTCTAGGTAGCATCTTACACGAATAATTTACATTTATATACATTTATATATTGTATTTAAAATTTATGTGACTAACGAGATACGTACAATACTTATATGTGTTTTTCAATGAAGAGTCAAAACTGGTATAAGCTTAGGAGATGATACCAAATTAAGTCTACACTCGTTTTCTATCAAATTTAGTTTAATCATGCAACTCCTGTTTGGGATGCAAGGCCAAAAACCTTTTAGAAACATACTTCATTTTTGCATAAGAATATTCGAAACAAACTGAGCTCTGAATGAAATTTAACCATGCACCAAAATTTGAAAAGCAAGGAAAGTTGGGAAAGAAATTACTAACTAACGTGTCTAAAATATATCATACCTAGGAAAGCCACAATCTAATTTAAAGCATCGGGAATTTTGCCTACCTGGTTGACCAGCCACTAAAATACCTTCTCAGCACGTTTCATAGTAAAAAGTGGTAAAGATTGTTATCTTAGAAAGTAATTTTCTCGACATGGTAACTTTCATCAAATATTCCTAGGATGTATTCCGATAGGAGTGCAACTCCTTCCTCTTTTATGGCTACAAAGTGATGGTCTCAGAGCTCTACTGTATAAAAGATTTTAATTTTTACCTTCTGTATATGAAAGCATATGCGTCAGCAACACAAATAGCCCAAGGAACCTTTAATTCAAGCATTTCAAAATATGGATCACGAGCATGTTACCATTGTTAAGATAGAAAGTGTAAATAACTGAATTAAGAAATATACTTTAGAGCAGGAGTTCTCAACCGGTGGTGCGCAAGAGAAAAGTAGGTGGTACGCAAAGAAGCAAAATATTTTTAGCTATTAAATTCAAAAATTAAAACCCCAACATCCTTACTGAGGTTTTTCTCTAACAGTCGTAAATTTGTACGATTTGAGTTTGTTCCAGAATGGTGGTGGTAGTAGTACTTTGTAGTGGTGGTACTAAAGGTTTTCAATTTCTGTTTAGATGGTGTATTTTAATTATGGCAAAGCACACTAGGGCTATCTGCCTAAGGGGAGGGGATGCCTTTCGTGGAGGACTTTCTAAGGGAAACTGGCTCGTATACACGTTACACATGGGGAAAACCACGAAAACGCCCATGCAGCCAGCCCGTTCGCGGGATTCGAACCTCGGACCGAACTACCAGTGTTCAGCGTCTTTACCGCTCGGCCGCTGGTGGGCCTTTCTGTTTAGATGGTACGCGTTAGTCAAAAGGCTGAGAACCGCTGCTTTAGAGGCTATTACAGATTAAAGATAAAATGTTATCTTAAGCGTACAGGATATGTACATATTTTCTACTATTATTTAAAAAAATAAAATTAACCATTCATTTCAGTATTTTATAAAACACTATATTATAAAAAAGCAGCAAAATATGTATTTTTAAAACTTACATAAATGTCGTTGCTTTGTAGTACGGATGCTAATGTAAATAAAGATATTATGTGCCTATTTAACCAAAGTAAATAGATAAATAAGTAATTGAAAAAAAAAACATGTTTTTATTTTATTTGTTTAATAGTACATATATGTAAATGCTTGCTTTTGATAGAAACGCTGGCGCAGAAGTAACACTGAAAATGACAATTACGACGCAAAAAATCTAGAAATAATAAACTTCCTAAAATGATTAAATTCCTAAGATAGTAATTTAAAAATGATTAAATTTATGATACGTATTCCTTATAGGTATAATAATGTATCCTTAAAATACACATTAAAATTTTTATTATATCTTTCAATGTGTAATGTGCGTTTCGATAATATGTAACTCAGCAAAGCAATATTCTGCGTACCGATTTTGAAGCAATTCACAAAATTAATTCGCCCTGCACTAATGAGAATTAGTCTGATATGATATCGCAGTTTTAAATATGGAAATATGTTAGGAATATGTATGACTATAAAGTAACAACGCAATAGGATATTATATTTTTTTTTCTAAAATTTAAATGAGAAATGCAATATTGACGCATTAGTTCAGAAGCCACGGAGAAAACAAACATAAAGATGATATGATATTTTACTTACTAACGACTACATCGCAACTTGATTCTCGGCCAATATAAGGAAGTGATGGGTAAAGTCGCTGGCTTTCCTAAGGAATACAAATCATAAAAACATTGTAAGCGTTTATAGCAACGATAATTTAATTCTTTATATTTTTTTCAATATATCTTTCGTTTGTCTAAAACTTTAACTAAATGTATTACCAGAATATACCTGTAATATCGTTAGTCTGACGGAGATAGATTCGTACGAAGTTTTCATAATCAGATAATTGATCAGAATATTATTCACATAATTACTTGGAAAGTTGGTCAAGTATTAGCAAATTGATGTAACAGGTTTTCTCAAGAGACTATAAAAATAATTTTAAGGCATCTTGAAATGGATTTAAATATATTTTATATTTTAATAGGATCCTTGAAAAAATGCAGTGCTTCTTTATGCCAGAAAATTGCTCGAAAGTAGTTAAATATTTAATAAAATGTGCATTCATATAGTCTTTCTTGTTTCGTCTCCTCTTTTTAATAAGATATTTAAGATCAACAGTACATAAAAAAAACATAAATAAATTCAATATAAGAACAGAATTATTCAAATATATATAATAATTTATTTGTCTATTTTACAGTTCTAAGCGACTACGTTTTCTTTCGACTAATATTTGTGAGATTTAAAGAAATTCGTATTTCTTTCATATAGAGAGAATCCGCTCCAGGCATAGTCAGCAACCTATAGCACTGATTGTTGGAAGTCAGCTGAGTTGTTCTTACACGTGACAATAAAATAAAGGTAAATTTTGTTTTGAATTGTTAATATGATTACTTCATATGGTGTGATAATGCACTGAGCGACTAGGACGCTGAAAATGCTAGAATTAGTCCTGCATAGAAAACAGAAATTACCATCAAAAATTAAATTTAACATAGCTTAACACATGTTTAAAATGTTACTGATACTTCTACAATCCGAGACATATAATGCAGCACTATTGTGTTCATTATAAATCTAAAAACTTCATTCATCCTTTTCCCTGTAGTGCCTAAGGGGGGAGTACGTAATAAGTAAAAAAAAAGAAAAGAAAAAATTATTACAGATTAAAAGGTTTTTTACATGACATGCATGTTCTGTTCTAAAGGTATGTCATTGTCTATGAGGTTCCAATTCATTGCGTTTTGAAAATAATAATATTATCTGTAAATCAAAGATTTACAGAAATCTGCTAGCGTTCCTTTTCAAAATTACTTTCATTTTTTAAAAGACGTTTAGCCTCTGTATGACATTTTGGTAATTCTCTTAATATTTCAAAATTCTCATTGTTTGAGTTAATCTATAATACTGAAATTAGACGAAATAATAATAATAAAAGGCCTTTTAAGTGTTTTTAAGTAATAATGTATTCACCCTTTCGGTCATTTAAAGAAACATTACTTAATTTTGTCTATTGTTAAAACCGATTATGTCTCATAAGTTTCTCTTTCTTTTGAATACTAAAATATTTACAAAGACTTTTTCACATATGATCATGAACTTTTAATTCTCTTAATAGTTCAATGTTAATGTCATAGAAATTAAGATAATTAATAAGTTTAAAACTGTTAGTGTCGCAAGTCTTCCATTTTAAATCAAGAATTAGAATTGATTTATCTTAGTTAAACTAGCAAAAAAGCAGTTAACCAAAATGTGAATTCAAAATTCATAAAGAAAACATTTTACCAATATTCTAGTAAAAGCAAGAGCTATAAAAAAGGGAAAGAGATTTATTTATTTGTTTACAGATTATGAATTAATGCAAGTACTATCTTAGACATGTGAATCTCATGCATATTTTGGGGAATAATAAAAGTGTATGTGAGTTGTTTCATTGCTATAGTCACCTTGTAACAATGCAGGAAAATCGACCTCGGACAATATGTAGAGGCAACATGTAGAGTACATTTATTATGTTTTAGAAAATCTTATGGAAGCTTCAAAACAGAAAGTGGAAACTGCATAAATAAATAAAATGCTGAATTTCAAATTAAAACTTCCTGCAGAAAGAGCTTTTGAAACACTGTAGTTTTAAAATTCGTTTAGTTTTAAATTGCATTTAATAAAAATTAATTTAATATTTTTATGGAACAACCATAAATTTTCAAACTGTCAGTTACTAGCAAGGTATTGATTTTTTTAACTGCAGAGATACCAATTATAAATGATCATGTTAATAAATCTATTAATTTGATGTCGTTCAAAGATTTTGCAAACTAATAATTTAATGATAAAGTTTAGCTTTAAGATACTAAATGGTAAGTTTATATATAGGAATTATGTTAAAATCAGATGTGTCATGGAATATCAAAAGGCTGATCAGAGGCCAACTAATAAAGTCGCTGAACAGTAGTAGTTCGGTTTCGGGGTTCGAATCACAGAACTATAGGGGCTGTATGGGCGTGTTCGTGGTCTTACCCATGTGTAAGGGCTATACGAGCCACTTTCCCTTAGAAAATCCTTTACGAAGGTATCCTTCGCCTGAAGCGGATAACGCAGTAAATTAAACCAAACCATGGAGAATGAAAATGATAATTTGTTGAGAAAATCCAAAATTTGAAGTTACTCGCTTCTTAAATTTGTTATTTCTTTCTAAAATAAATTAATAAAATAGCATTAGATCATAAACAAACACGTATGTAAGAAAAACATACAGTTATAAAATAATACTGCTTATGTTGGTTATATCATTTCCAAATATTTCAGATTTGTGAACAATTTGAAAAATTTTCAAATTAAGGCAAGTGAATAACTGCTTACTTTCAGGACACACTCTAAATACTTGAGATTTTTCACATCATCGACAGTGAACGGCCTGTCCCAGTCGTCACCAAATATTTCTTCTAGTTCTTCTTGCACTTTTTCCTGCACTTCCGGGTCCTGCCCAATTAAGTATAGAGCCCAGCTCATTCCAACAGCGGTAGTATCGTGACCCTGCTCAAAAAAAAAAAAAAAAAAAGCTTTACAAATTAAAAATTTTTACTAAGCATTTAGTCTAAATTTTGTATGATAAATTCACGTAAACTTAAGAAATGGAACATAATCAACAAGACCATTTAAGATTAATAGCATTTAAATATCATTTAATAAAATCATCTGGCAGCTTAAAAACCCTCACAGGATTTCATAATATAATTCAATGGCCGAAAGCGACTTTTGATAATATGTACAGGGTGTCCAGTGGAAAACAACTGATGAAAAAGAAAGACGCATGTATCCGAAATCGGTATATTCAATTGCACTGTGATTTACATAGGTTTACTCAACTCATCTCTATGTAAATGCCATTTTAGTATGGGCTATATTAAGGCGATACTCTAACTCACTTCATACTTTCGAAAGTACCACTAATATGACTTAATCCTATTATTTCCTTTATTCGAGCGCACAAATATAAAAAGATCAAGTCCCTTCCATACCAGTATTTCCGGTGAATTGCTTTCCAGCTATATAAGTCACAGTGCAATAAACACTAACATAGAATATGAGAGTTATTCGTTTTTGTCATTTGTTTCTTGGACACCCTATGCTTTCGCGACTGGACGGTATATACAGAATGAAAACTCATATAAAATGCATGGTACTTGGCAGTTGGCCACTTTTAGCACTTTTTAGCACACGTGTTCCGTGGCTTTGAGTTTCAGCGTCAGATGCGGAAGACAACAGAAATTATGCAGGGAAATGATTAAGACAGCCTGTTTGGTAAATGTGCTTTGATTGTTCACATATGTTTGAAACAAAATTTGATTTTGGATGCTACCATGTATTAGACTGCGTTTATTTACATGGTAATAATGCAATTCAGTTCGAAGTTGTTTAGCAGTTTGCATACCAAGAAATAATTTGTACGAATGCTGAAATGCCTTTAAAAGAATTTTCAGTCTAGAAAGTAGAGCAAAAAATTTCATTATTGTGAGGGCGATTTAATATTAGAAAGAACTATAACTAGAAATTGTATGGTGATTACCACTGCAAACGATTATTACCAAGAAGTAGGAAATTAATGAGATGATTTTTAGTGCTTCTAAAAATTGTACGTTGATAAAAAACAAACCACTAAAGCAGCCAATATAATTAAAAAATTAAGATTTTTATTATTTCATGCAGTGTTATACTTCGAAAATTTTTGTACCAGTAATATTTGAAAACTACTTCTAGTATTTTATGACACATTTTGTAAATATATTCGTTTTTGTCTTACATGCATTATTTCTCTGGTAAGCGTTTAGTTAAGAATAATCAATTATGCATTAGTCGCACATATGTGTTGGATGTTGAGCTCTTATAAAATTATTTATTGTCATTCATTATGCCTGAAAGAAAAAAGTTCTGAAAATACTTTTTTTTAATTTATGCAATATTGAATAAATATAATTAGACAATGTTAAAACTTACCGCAAACATGAATGTGTTCACTTCTTCTGTTATATCTTCTTCTGTAAAACATGGATCAGTAAGATGCTCATGAAGCAAAAGATCTAAAAAGGCCTTTCGACGTTTCATTCCAAAGTCGTCCTTTTTAAATGCTTCCTCTATGTCCATGCCGCCTTTTATTTCTTTCAAGACATAACCTTTCCTTTCTCTTATGACCTTAGAAAATTAAATGAATTATTCAAAATACTGTGCAAAAACGCATATGAATATGTATTTTCATAAGTGTAAGCGTTAGCAAAATAGTTCATTGAGAAATAATTTAACATATGGAGGCATCAATTCATGTCGTATGAATATAAAAATGTAAAAATGTCTAATAACATATTTTCGAATAAACTTATGCACATAGCATTATGTTATTTCTAACTTCTTATGTTATTTACTTATACACTGGAGTTTATTATTAATTTATACAAAAAAATACCATTTGTCCCAAATAATGAGGTCGAAGCCGTTTTGGATAACGCATTTGTGGATAATGTAGGAAAACAGTTTCGGTAGCTGAGACAGAAATAAACATGCATTATGTTAATATCAAAGTTTATGAGTTTAGCATGCAACTTAAAACTACGCAAAAACGAAACCTTAATTTGGCATAATAAAAAAAATTGTATTGGTTTCAAGGGCGATCTCGCAACTGTCTCCCTTTTTCAGGAGAAGAAGTGGGGGAAAAGTTTTTTTTTTTTTTTTTTTCTTTTTGCAGATATTTTTTTCGCAACGTTTTGGTAGCGTATCTGATCACTCTCGACTTTTATTCAAGTTCTACATTAAACTAACGTTCTTTTTTGCGCAAATAAAAATTTTAAATTGACACGCTTTTCTTCTTAATTGCTTTAGAATGCAATATATAGAAATATCTTGTCACCATTTTAAAATACAAACTTTCCTCTAATGAACGAGATAAAACGAAATGCAGTTAAGCTACGTTTTAGTGTATATTATTATTTATTTTAAGCGTTGTATTTTAAACGAATAAGTAATAATTATTTCTTAAGTAAAACAAATGAATGCTCAATCTCATTCCTTCAAATATTTTTTTTTTTTCAATACCTAACGATAATGAATAAAGGAGTTAAACTTATGCTAAGTTATTAAAGTTAATTTAATGTTGTGAAAACAAGCAATGAGTTTGTTTCTTCAAACGTGCTTTTTTTACATCTGGGAATTATGATTGGGATTTGTTTAAGATCCTAGCTAAACTCAGGTTGAACATTTTTATTAACCTAACCAAAACCAATGTATCACTGTTAGTATTCCAAAATTTAATTCCCAGATTTCTTTTAGAGACTACTTTTGTGGCGAATCAAAGCATTCTGTTGATTATGTATTGTAACTCTGGTAACTATCAAGCGGAATGTCTGTCATATAAAACTATGATCAAAATGTGGAAAACAAAGTTTGATGTGATGTAAGTACTAAGAAGATAAATAAAATTTTTGTTTGACTTGAAAAAGACGAGAAAATTTTAAAATAAATGGAAAGTAGATATTAAAAATTATAACAAAATAAATACAAGTACAAATTTTGAGTTCTAGCTTCGTAAAAGAAATGCACTGATCAGATATGAACATGGGATTATTGAAATATTCCACTTCGAGCGTTTGACAGCAATATCAAAATAGATTTGGTTTAATTCGATTTCCGAAAATTTTTAGACTGACTGCTTTTGATTATACTGTCTTTATATTTCTTATCCATTCTGTGGTATTCATCAAAATACTGAAAGATTCTGGGATTCGTATTGAACCATTTATGCATCGCATTCGCTGGTTTTTATCTATGTTTCACTGTTGGAACTGAATTCCCTTTTGAATCTGGTTCACCTATACTTGCTGTGTGTTCCTTATATTAGACGAGTGACATATGATAGAAATTTTAATTCTTCCTTAGGCTTTACTTCAAAGTGTTTTAGATTTTAAATTAAAATTAGACATACAAGTGAAACACTATGAAATTTTATTTATTCAAAGACAATGTTTCGTTTTAATCTGATAGCGAAATAGAATTCTTGCAAGTGAAAGGTGTTTTTCACTTGCAAGAATTATATTTCAAGGCAAGTGAAAGGTGTTTTTAATGCCTTAAAATAAGTTGCAATAATCTCTTAGATTGCAAGTATAGCTAGGTTATATTATTCCATTGTATGAATAAGACTTTTGTTGAGATCAGTTTAAGGATTGTATATTTAAACTGGGGAATACATAAGCAGAACGTTTCTCCAAGTACCGTTTTCTCATGCCACAATCTGCCACATCCAGATTTAATTGGGTAACTTCACTAAATGCATTATCATTTAATATTAAAATAACAGGAGTCACTGTGTCGGATCCCCTGTCCGTTTGTATTAAAACTTCTAATATATGTAATTTCGCACTGAAAAACTGAAGGCAGAAACACTTGTAAATCAATCACACTTGATTCCATACATTCCACAGACGAATACTCGGACCTAATGAGGTGAAGTCCATACCTTTTATTATATTAATTTCAGTATTTGCAACATATTTCAGAGAACCTGGTATTCGACGAATAATTGCGCTTCATGGTCAAATCTGCATAAATATGTGTACGTTTCTCGCAATGTGATAAAACAACGGTACTTAGAGCCATCAAATTTTGAATAACGTAATCTTCCTGAGAATATGGGCATCTGGAAATCCAAATTTGAAATTTGCTTTATTATCAAGTTCAAATTTTGTTAAACTTCAGCGAATTTTTGATTAACAAACTGAAGGATTTCGGAGCGAGCAATGGCAATATTGTACAGAAAAAAACATTTTTATCTCCAGCGCGCGAGACTGTATCGGAAATTCTAAAGATACGATCATTTAAAAATTATTTTGCTATATTGCTCTTGAATTGAATTTTATGGTTTAAGTGCGAAAAACCGCCCCTTTGGACGTAATTTAAAATCGGAAACATTTCAGATTTTTTTTTTATGTTTTCTTCTGTAATCCGTAAATAAAGTTTATATCTGTGTTTTATGAGTTATTTGTTAATGGATTTGGTTTACGGTATTGATGGAATTTATTTCCAATAGGCATGTCTGGCGATTAAATTTTCATTCAAATAAATGAAAAGAAAAATCTAGCAATGCTGAGAAAGAATTATTAAACGAAATAGAAGATCACATAAAAGAATGCAGAAGGGATAAAACTATTTTGGATGTCCCTTCTAATTTGGAATATATTAATGGAAAACGGCTTTTATATGATTTTGTTACAATGTTAATTATACCTTTCAAATGGAATTTATTAAGTTTAATAAGAATGAAGCCCATTTTGATGAAAATGTCGAGAAAAATGTGAAATAGGAATTTCCTTTCGGAACGAGGGAGATTGTGGATAAATTAAGTTCTATTAACAATTTCAGATCAGATTACTCTGTTTACCTTCTTTAAATGCTGCTCTAAAGTGAAAGTTAATTCCCCCTATTTTTTCCTAAATTGGTTACTAAACTTTGCTACGGAAAGGAAGAAACAGAATTTTCGATTTTTTAAATGAATATGCTTGATTGCTAATACATTTGTTCTCATAGGATATAAATAGATTTTTTAATTAAATCCATACTTTTGATCCTAAAATATAAAATTATAAAGCTAAATAAAACTGTTTACTAATTCATAGTCAACTGCGAAACAAATTAACGACTGCTACCAGATAAAACAGACATTTGAAATCTACAATTATTTATTTAACTGAACTGTAAGATTAGGATTTCGTTTTGACAATTCTGGAGCCGACTCTATTCTAAATACCTAATCTGGAACTAGGCTTCCCAAATTTTTATAAATATTTTTTCTTTGTTTTAGAAACGATTTGAATTCGAATGTGTTTTCAGTGCTGCCATCTACAATAGTTATTTCCAACTACTCTGGTAAATTGAAAAAAAAAAAAAAAAAAAAAAAAAAAACCCGCTAAATTGAGTAATGTTGGCGTTTGTAAATTATGGTAATTTGTTTAGAAGTTTTAAAAATATTTAAATTGGGATGGACGAGCAAAATATCGAAACTATTAAATACACTCATTTCAAATGATCACCTATGTAAACCGCAATTTTATGTTAAATGCTTGTTCATTTCTAATCATTTCTAATAATAATTAATTGCTAATTCATTCCTCTGTCACTTCATTTCCTCAGTTTAGTACTTAAAATATCCATTAAAACGTGTATTATTTCCATTTGCATGTTTATAATATTGGAATAAAAAACAAATAAATAATATATGTCTTATAATACAGAACTAGAAATGTAAATTAAATTATATTGCTTGCAATTAAATTTTTCCGCGTCTCAGTTTTAAAACATTTGGTCTGCTTTTCGACTTCCTGTGTGTAGTGCATATAATCTGTACATTTACATAGGTGTAAACATTTGACAAAAAATATGTTTTGATTATTTTTTATAATCTGGAATATTTATTTCTTATGTGTATTAAGTTTTATCAGTTGATTTGTATAAAAGTTATCTTTTTATTTAAAATATCATCATTTTATTTAAAATACCATCATTTTAAATAGACATTTAATTCAGTACAAAGAGGAATCATTTCGATTTAGATATTAAAAATAATTTATGAATAATTGTTCAATCACATGCTAAAATAATTGTTCAATCACATGTAAATATTCGCATGCATTCCTCATAAAGCATATTCTGAATGTCATTAAGTCAAGAATATTCAATCTCTAAACATCTTCTTCTCTAAAATCTCAAATAATCGCAAATAACAACTGAAAAAAAAAAAAAAAAAAAAAAAAAAGGACTGTTAGGATTTTTTTGGAAAGATAAAAGAATAATGTATATGATTTAATTTTTCTCAACGAATCAACTGGTTGTCCATTTAAACCTTGTTAAAAAAATCTGATTCTTCGACAAGTTAATGAACTGTCATAGAATCAATTTATACTAGGTTAAAAATGCCGGTTTATTCTGAAGATTCAGTATAATCATCCAAAGAGGAGCACTTCCCCGCCTTATTTTAAGTTTCCAAACAAAATCAAAGCCAACTACTAATATATATGTTAACAAAATATTAAAAATGTTACACATACACTCCTTGTGAATTCGTCCATGATATCTGTGCTCTCCTTAAATTTCCTTCCCTCTGCCGTGTTCTTGAAAATGAACTCAGGCCACAGCCAGGGTTTCATAAATCGCGTACCAAAGAGGTGAGATGCTCTGTCAAAAAAAATACTACAATACTAGGAAGGAAACATTTTATCATACTTTTTATTATACTTCATACTGACGACAAAAATCTTACTAAATTATTAAAGTAAAATATATTCACTATTTTAACTCTATATCTATCCATTTATCTTTATATATATATATATATATCATATTCCTTTCAAATTAATATTAATTAATTAATTGAATGCCTGCATGCTCATTTACATAGCAAATAAAACGGAGAAGGAGAAATGAAATGAGGGGGAATTCTTATAAACCAATATTTTATTTATTATTTATTCACCTGATTAAGAACAAAGCTAGCAGCAAATTTTTGCAATATAAATAGAGACTAAAATGAGATATCTTTTGCGGAAAATTCTAAAATTGTTCCTGCTTTTGACAGCACAGCTAAAAAACGTCTTTCCATAACAGTCGGCACTGTTTTCCAAAGTTTCCTTTCTTTATTTCATGTTTAAATTTTAAACATATTACCGTGAATTTCTAGACTCTATTTCTAGACTCTCGCATTTTAGTGCAGCGCTTCGTCCGGTAGTAATATAACAAAAAAAAAAAAAAAAAAAAAAAAAAAAACTTTTTGCTCAGGAAGAAATGCGAATGAATACTGTCCAAGAAATGAATCCAAAGTTTAAAACTGCAATAATCATGGGACTTTGATTTATGTCATTTGAGACAGTGAATGTTCTCCCAAACTGCAGTGAATAAACAACTCTTATTTTAAAAATTCTCTTATGATTTCCCAAATCTAGAAAAACAACGCCTTATTTCAGAGATAACAGCTTCAAAGTAGATTATGTTTCATAAATAATGTTTGGACTATCTTCTTATATATTTTTTATTCTTTTTCTTCACTTGATTTCATCGTCCTCGTTTATGACCTGATTTCTGCTCTTTCGCTATCACCTGATGTAAATTTGTACAACTTTCTGTCCATTTATCTCTAGCCAGCTGTATAATTTCGACAATTATCTACTTATGTAAGTTTATTTATTTTACTCACATTTTCGTAATTATCATTTTTAATTCTGTTTAAGAATTTAGATCTGCATTTTCTATCCATTTATACCTACATCTTTCAATATGTTTCTAAAGTATTACATCTACCTATATACCTATCATATAAATCTTCCGCTTCAGTTGATAACTTAATTAAAATTACAACTAATCAACTAATTAATTTCCGTTATGTTAAATCTATTCACATTTGTTCTATTATCTGCATGCTCATTTACAATTAACATAACAGATTTAACATAACGGAAAATTTTGATTTTACGCACTCGTATTTTATATCTTTTATCCTACATATATATTACTGTTTAGTTATATCAAATCGTGTACTATTAAGTGAGAAGGGATTCGTTAATGAATTGAATGCACACCGAACCGATGAAAGCTTGATGAAATTTACTAAAAAAACTTTATAGTTCTGAAACTTAAAAAAAAAGTACTCGTACAGCTCTTCTCAGTATGACAGAGTGCAGACAGTAGTTACCACTTCAAACTACTAAAAGCGTTTAACACAAGGCAATGCAAAGAGCCTCAAATTGTTGCCTCGCTGGGTTGTTAGGTTAAAATAATAATAATTGGCAGTTAACCATTTTATTTGCTTTTGTTAAAGCTAATTGTTAATTACTCTAATAAATTTGAAAATAAATGACGTAAAATATCGCTTACGCATTCAGGGCTTTGACGTAAGGAGTATCTTTCTTCTGCGCTCCAACATATTTGCCCATAGCAGTTTCTGAAAAGAAATAGTTAGTTTACTAAAACAATTCAACAAATTAGCTTAATTAATAGTCTTTTTAAATCAATCCCGATTCTTTTTTTATTTATATAATTTTAACATTAATTATTTAATAGCATTAATGATTCAATGGTTTAGAATTTGCATAAAAGAATATTTTGTTTAACTCTTGCATGTGCAATAATTTATGTCCAGTTGCAATAATTTATGTAGCACGTATTTGTTATTTTAATGATATAAATAAATACTACTAAAAGGGCTGTTATTAATCATTATTTGCAATATATTTCGACTTAAATATTTCATTTCTCTCCCCCCCCGGCCCGATTTTTTTATTGTAATGGCTAAGATCTATACTCTAACATTCTCGTCTTTGGGGTTCTCTTAATATTAATTGAAAAAGATCATGGTTCAAGCATGATGAATGATCACAAATCACATGGAAAGCTAAATTGCGTCAGGGAAAGATCATGCTATCAGTTTGGTGGTATAAAAGTCACTGTTTATTTTGACTCCTTCCAAACAACCGGACGATCAACCGAGATGTTTACTGAAAATAACTTACGAAACTGAAGTAAGCAATCAAAGAGAAAAGGTCAGAATTGGCAAATCGCAAAGGAATCGTGTTCCACTACAACAATCGAAGGCCCCATACATCTTTAGGCAATACGCACAAAATTATTGAGGGTTGTCTGGGAAGGGATGTCACATTCCCCATATAGCCCAAGGTTATTGCGCCATTGGATGGTCATTTATTTCGAAGTTTACAAAACTTCTTAAATGATTAAAAATTTCGGTAATAATGATGACCTGAAATCGTACTTGATTGAGTTTTATGCTGATAAAGACCAGAAGTTCAATAAGCACGGAATCATGAAATTACTAGAAAGATGACAAAACGTCATCGAACAGAACGGAAGATATTTCACTGATTTAAGGTCATCTATTGTATAGAAAAAAAAAGAGTTTTATTTCACACTAAAAATAGAAATTACTTTCTTGCCAACCCGATAACTAATATATTTTGGAAACAACTATACATTTTAATTATAGATCGCATAAGGAAGGTAAGGATAAAATATTATTTCTGATGAAAGTTTACCGCTCAAGATTACTAATTCAATATATCAACTGTTACTCCGCTGTTTTGTAATTTATCGCTGATTTAAAGGTGAAATATTTCGCAAGCCAGCAAATTTGAAATCTCAAAGTAATTTAGAATTTTGATAAGATTTACTCTAATTTCATTTAGGTCAACAAGTGCGCTGTCAGGAAGTATTTATTCATAACTTTCTACTTTCACTCATTTCTCTTGTTTACAAACACCACCGGTGGCTATGTTCTGAGTTCATCATGCTCAGTCAGTCATGCAAACAGAAATATTTGAAACACGTGAGTTTTGCAAACAAATGGGCGGCACAAATCATCTCGAACAATCTGATCTTGATTGTCATAGTAATTGGATTTTTAATAACATAATCTGGGACCTGAACAGCATGCGATAAGCTGAAACAAGTTACAGATTACAAGCATTTTTTCATGAAATATTTTAATCCTTTCACAATTCATTTATTTTGAAAATAAGTATTACAGTGGTCAAACTATACTATTAGCTTATTTTAAATCTGATTAGTTTGAAACAATCCTTTTGTTTAAATAATCTTTTTACTTTTATTCCAGTAACTTATAAATTAATAAAAGTAAAATAATTTTTAAAAGTAAATAACTAAAATATTTCAATAACAATAACTAACTATAACAATAACTAAAATATTTGGATAGCGCAGAATAAAAGTGTCTGTTACGGCATCAATTATTATAATTTTCCAAATAATGGTACTAAGAAAATGCCTTTGGAAATGCCAAGGCGAATAATTATTTTCAACAATGTAAGGATTGTACACATGTGTATGAACACGTGTTTTCTAACTTTCAGGGCATGTTCATAAAACACTATTTATTTCCTTTCATTTACAAAATTATAAAATGATAATTGCTACAGATTACAAATGTCATTTATTACAGAGATATTAATTATTTTAATAACATTACTAAAATTATATATAAGTACTAGATAAAATAAAGACGACCTAGGAAAAATTTCCTATATTATCAAGACATTAAGTTGTATTTTAAAACATTTAGAGCATAAAAAATATTTTTAAAGTACATTTATTAAAAGTCGAATCAGTTTATTTTTTGAACATATTCAGAAATTTCTAATTTTCTGCTTTTAGGATATTTACTCATAGATACTAAAGATTAGAAAAATTAAAAATATATAAGCTACATAAATTTTTAAATTCTAATATGGTAAATTGCAAGCAAAAATGCAGAACTCTTGAACTGAGCATACATAATTCAAGATGATAGGGAACAGATAAAAGATTGCTCCATAAGCATAGACAACAGACTACATTACATTTTATAGGTAAACTATAAAACTTATACAAGAAAGAATGATTAAAAAAAACTACAGTCTTTTTAAGCACTCACCAAGATATAAACTTCTCCAAATTGGCTCCCCCTCCCCAACAAAAAGTACTGAATAAAATTAATAAATTTAAAATCAGTATAAATATCATTATAAGTTTCTAATTTCAAATTTTGTTGCAAGATATCCATTAATTATGGCATCTAACTTCAAATATTATTATTTTATACTATTTAAATTTAATGACAGTGTTTTTTTTTTTTTTTTTTTTTTTTTTTTTTTTTTTTTTTTTTTTGCTGACGTTGGTGCAGATTTTATCATATATATATATGATTTATTAAAAATACTTAATTGTTTAGTTTAATGTTATTGCATTGTTTACTGTATTATAAACATTTTAATAGGCCTTACATTTTTTTCACTCAATCTTGATTTTCGTCATGAATTTACAATCATTCAGATATTATTCAGAAATGTAATTTTGTTGAAAATTTACTTGAGAAAAACCAATGATGTTTCAACCATTTGTTTAGATTTTTTTTAAAGTCAATTATTTTGATTTTGTTCCAGTTTTCATATATGTTCCTGCTGTTAGACTGTTAACCACTAATTTATATTTCATTTTTGTATCTTAATTATTTAATCAATTTCTTAGCATACTGTGCGACTTTCAGAATTTATAAGCTTAATTTAAAATCATTAAATCTCTGTACAATTCATTTAACCACGAACAATAGAGCCCGTTAGGAACTGGCAATATTCGCAGCCATTAACCAGGTCATTTGTGGATCTCATAAAGGACTTTTTTGCGAAGAACATATTCAGGAAATGAGCAAAACGAGTGAATAAGAAGTGTCGGCAGTGACACGAGGGCAAGTATAAAAAATGATAAGTCAAAATCCAAGCTTTGCGGGTCGAGTACGTTAAGCCGATAGAGTTTCAGAAAAGACATTTTATGGCTTCCTTTTGAGAGATTTAAAAACGATCACAATTCAAGACCGAAAAGAATGAGGGTGTATCCTGAAAATTGGTAAAGATGCTAAAAACATTTTTAAAATATAAACAAAAGAACAGAGACAATTCCAGATTATCTTTGGCTGGCGCTAATAATTCAATGCAATGGCATCTTTTTTCGGGTGACTGCAAAGCTTTTTCTGTAGCTATAGGAATCACGCTGTCTCGCTTGGCAGTAACAAAATGATTTCAAAGGCAAATGCTTTACAAAAACAATAATTAATATGTATCGCTTGATAATCTACACAGGAGAGGGCACAATTACGGTGGCATCTTGGAACTGTCTACTGTAGCATTTAGTGGTTGATCTAGTCAACTGATCAGTAGGAGACCGATAGCGCTTTCTGGCTGACTTTTGACGATTCCGAAATATGACCGAACGTGACAGACATATTAACATTCATCGCGTGCGTGAAGGGGTACATCTACACAAGTTCAAGATTACATAATGTAGGTAGTCATACGTTCCGTGATACTTTTTAAAGAGTTCCCATGGAAATATGTTTTTGAATTTAATATGGCATTATGAAATGTCTTTAATAAAATGTCTTTCGCTGTTTATTTTGTTTTGAATAATTATATCTCGTTTCCCAGTTTCAGAATTATATTATAGGTAATGATTATCACGAAATTTCATTCAGAAATGTTAAATGCATAAATTTATTTCCCAAAACATTATGACCACCATTTAAGGCTAGAAAATTTTTACATTGCACCGAATTCGAACTAAAAAACATTTGCGAAGATATTCTTGAATTTGCGAGTAAGTTTTATTTGCTTTCGTTCTGGATCTTGCAATCAGCAATACAGCCGACATTAATTTTGATTGTCTTAGAGGATTGAACAAGATTTTTACTCAGTCTTTCCACGTGGGCTTGAAACACAATATTGTTCCTTCGCTGGAGACTCTTTGCTCGGTGGTTAACGAAAGGGGAGAAAGAAATGATCGCTTGGAGTCTTGAGTATGAGGTGATTAGTGGCCTTTTGTCGGCTGGAAGGGAAACCCTTAAAGTTGCCTTTTAATCCATTTCAAACCTCTAAGTGTCAGAGTATGTGAAGTGTCCTATTGGCATTTATTTTGCAGATAGGTTACTGCAGTTTTTTCTCGAAACACTAGTTATCATTTCGTCTTCAAACAAAATGCTTGGTATCACTACTGAGTTTTGTGCCGCCCAAACGGAAAGTTGTTAACGATGCTGACCGCTGTACGGGCTAGGGCTCGGAGAAGGCATGGATGTTTGTAAATGTAGTATAGTGTCTATGTGAATGTATAGTGAACTCAAAGTATGAGCCGAGCCGAAACTCCTCTCGAGAGTTTGTTGGTAAGAGAAAAGGTGGGAGATTCTCGATTCCGCCCCCCAGGTTGCTGTCCTTCAAAACTCAGGCGGAAATGAGCATAAAGTCGGGATGTCCCTTGTATGGCGCTCTGGCTAATGACAGACGCAAGTTTGACTCCTTGCGATGGTAATATTCGTGGGCTTTTTATGATTAGATCAGTCAAGTAAGATTAGCAACAACAAGAACAAAAACAGAGAGTTTTGCACAAAAA